AGCTTTAAATGAGTTTTTGGTATTCTTTATCCATTTTTTGATTAAATGTTTGTAGAATGTTTGCCCTAGGTAAAAAAAAAGAACTATTAACTCATCTATAGATGTGTTACAAGTACTTTCCTATTCCATTACTTGTCCTTTAACTTTTTTTACATGACTATTACTATATAGTCTGAAATGTTTAATATAGTCAATATTTGGTTTTCATAGCTTCTGGGTTTGAATACTTTACTTAAGGTAAGAAAAATATTGTTTTGTATTTTCTCCTAAAACTCCTTAGATTTTACATATTTATTTTTAACTCATCTGAATATTTGTTGTATAATGTGTGAAATAGGGTTCTACCTTTGTTTTATTTCAAGTAATAGTGGTCCATGCACCTTATATGTTAAATAAGCCTTATTTTCCCCATTGATTTGAAATCTCAATTTAATCATATATTCCACTGTTAGACAGATATATACGTTTGTTTCTCAAATGCTCATTTTATTTCACTGATCTACTTGATTATTTCTGTGCTGGTGTCATGTTTTTATTGCTGAGACTTTATAATGGTTTTAAACTTTATAATAATTTATCATGGGTTTTGACATTTACAAAAAAAAATCAACATTCCCCCACCCCAAAAGAAATAAAAGAGAAAGGAATGGGGAAAGGAGGGGAAGCGGCTAGTCAAAGAACATGTATGAACGACCCATGGCCTTGGACAACGGGATAGGGACTAACTGTGGGAGCAGAGGTGGGGAGTGAGGTGGACAGAGGAGGGCAAAGGGGAAAAAACTCAAGGCAACTGTACTAGAATAAAAATAAAAATGACTTAAAATTTAAACACAGAAAATGACCGCTAGTAGACAATTTTTTTTTTTCACTAACATAAAACCTGTAATGGGATATTTCTATTTTTTTAAGTTTCAATTAAAAATCTCAAATTATGCCAGTCTTATCAAAGGCAGAGATTCTCGCTCGCATTGAGAATTTTACAAGCACTATCATTTCAGCACCAAATCATGGAAAGAATGATTTAAAGCACAAATAACAATCTTTTATTACTAACTGAATCTGTTAAAAATACTAACAACTTTTACTCCAAGTAAGAGTTGAAATTAATAGTTTTCCTGAGTACATATAAACTACCAATTAAGAACAAGAAGAAAATGAATAATAAACACAGTTTGATTGATGAACTTTATCCATCCTTATTGCTCTTTAATCATTTAGTGAAAACAGCAAAATTAAAAGAATTGCTCTCCATTTCTTCCCTTTTATTCTGAGCTTGATAAAAGGCTTGTACAATGCTGACGCACATCATCCAACCCCATCCCAAGAAGAAAAATTACATAAACTTTAATGAACGCTATCATTTTTCTTTTGTTAACTTCTAAAGATCCAACTGTTACTCCAGACACCCAAAGTTTTCCAAATACAGTAAAAAAATAATAAGTTCTAGTGTCTGAAGTTCAATTGTTTAAGAGAGACACAGAATGTTGCAACAAAACCACCAAGACAAAGAGTGAGGGGAAATTTTCTTTGCAATCTGATTTAAATAAAAGTTTCCACTATATTACACATTCTTCCCTCCCAGCCAATTTACCTGGACTCAATTCTGGAAATTTCCTGATGCATTTTGGTCATAAAAGCATATAAATGGATCATCATGACAGATGATAAGACCATAATTTTTTATAGTACTTACATTTGGTACTAGGTTTTATAACCGTTCAACTGTTTCCTTGTTTTGCAAATAATTCTCTTAGACTAATCAATATATATTAGAAACCATCCGGCCACGTAGCAAAAAAAGCTTGGGTAAGGCTTAGAAACTGCAGGAATTTAGATATGCACAGAATTTAGAAAAGAAGTATTTCAACAGACCCAGATCATCTCTCCTTCCAATGTTCTGACTACTTGAGTACTCTACTCAAATGGGAAAAAACAAAAACATTTATGTAGACATTCATTTATATCATCACAGTTTGTAGAAATCAAACTGATGAGGATTATAGAAGAACTTTTAACATAAGACCTTTGGTTAGACTCCAAGAAGACCCCTGAAAAATAAATTTAAATAAATACATAGATAGATAGATAATTTCCCCCTCTGGAGAAAATCCATTGCTTTCATCAATAGTTCTTGATAACTAAACTAAAGAATAACCATCATTCAGAACCACCTGAAATTTGGCTGAAGAAGCCATATCAAGAACAACAGGAGGGATTAAGATGCAGAACAGGCTGGTCCCACACTCACATGTGGCAGATAAACTTAGGAGGGATATTCTGGCTGCAGAGGTCCCTCCTGAGGAGCAAGGAGTCCGAGCCCTGCACCTAGCCACATCCGCCCCCAGCCCACAGTACCAGTGCCAGGAAGAGAAGGCCCCATAACTTCTGGCTATAAAACCCAACAGGCATTGAGGCTGAGGGAGACAGTCCGGGCAGTTCTTACAGAGGCCATGCACGGACTAAATCAGACTCACTCCCTGTAAGCTCCAGCACTGGGGCAGCAGCTTGAAAGGCACCAAGACCATAAGGGGAGAAACTGAATGGTCTAACATATAGGTGAGAGCTGCGGGGACAGCTTTCTCCCACAGAGAACTGCTGGCAGAGGTCACTGTTTCTTTTCTGAGCCCTTCCCCAGAGCCAGCAGGCAGGCCCCATACGTGAGACTTCATCAATCTAACGCTGTAAGCCTGTTTCGTGAGGCCCTGCCCCAGCCAACTTTCAGGCCCACCCAAGCTGTTTCCCATGGCTTTTCCATACAAATGGCTTGTCTTGCATCATGCTTCAGATTTTCCTAAATTCTCTCAAACAAGCAGCCTCTTACCTCAGTGTGCCTTTCACTAAGTGGCCCCAGGCCTGCCACTAGCAGCAACCAGCCTTGGTTTACAGTTTGGCCTCACCTGGGAGCCTCCAAGCCCAGCACAAGTAGCAACCATCTGCAAATCACTTTGTAACACATGCCAGGAAGCCCAAGGCAGAACACAGTCAGTGGGTGATCTTGGTCTGCACCTACTGGGCGGCCCCAGAAGCAGCAACCCAGTGGACAACTTCATACTATGTAGTAGCACCACCCAACTACATCCAAAGGTAACACACTCAAGGGATAGACTCAGCAGGCACCAGATCCCTGCTGAAGTAAGTCCTGCTCTGTGGGGTGAGTCTCTGTATAGCTCATCCTTCACAGTGGTGCCAGCCAGTCCTTGCAGCCAATCGGCCTGGGGTTAAGCCTATCCCATTGGCATGCCAACAGCAATCTAGGCTCAATTACAAGAGAAGAGTGCACACAGTCCACATGGGGGTGGGGAGCAGGTGACAGCAACATACCTGGAGTGCCCAGCTTGGTCAGGTTAACAGGAGTCTGTGCCACTGGACCCTCTACTAATAACATCTACTACATAAGGCCAACTCTACCAAGCCTGGGAGATGTAACAGCTCTACCTAATACATAGAAACAAACATAGGGAGGCTGCTAAAATAAAGAGACAAAAAACCATGTCCCAAATGAAAGAATAGCACCTCCAGAAAAAGAACTCAACAAAATGGAGACAAGCAATCTCCTAAATGCAGAGTTCAAAACAGAGGTAATAAGGATGCTCAATAAACTTACAGGAAGAGGAGATAAACTTAGAGAACTTCAACAGCATAAAAAAGAACATGGAAACCATAAAAAAGAAATAGTCAGAAATGAAGGCTACACTAACTGAAAGGAAGAATAATTTATAGGAAGTCAATTGTAGAGAAAATGAAGCCAAGAATCAAAACAGTGATTTGGAATAAAGGAAGCAAAAAATATCCAATCAGAAAAGCATAAAGAAAAAAGAATCCAAAATAGTGAGGATAGTGTAAAGAGATTCTGGCACAACTTGAAGCGTACTAGCATTCACATCATAGGGGTGATGGAAGAAGAGAGAAAAGCAAGAAACAGAAAACCTATTTGAAAAAATGACAGAAAACTTCCCTAAGCTGGTGAAGGAAATAGGTATGCATGTCCAGGAAACACAGAGAGTTCCAAACAAGATCAACCCAAAGAGACATCCCACACCAAGACATATCATAATTAAAATGCCTAAGGTTAAAGACAAAGAGATAATCTTAAAAGCAGCAAAAGAAAAGCAGTTAGTTATCTACAAGGGAGCTCTCATGACACTGCAAGCTGATTCCTCAACAGAAACACTTCAAGCCAGAGGGGCTGGCAAGAAATATTCAATGTGATGAAAAGCAAGAGCCTACAACCAAGATTACTCTACCCAGCAAAGCTCTCATTTAGAATCAAAGGACAGGTGAAGAGCTTTCCAGACAACAAAAAGCTAATGGAGTTCACCACCACTAAATCCATATTATATGAAATGTTAAAGAGTCTTCTTTAATAAGAAGGAAAAAGATAAAAAATAAGAACAATAAAATAGCAATAAATACGTATCTATCAATAACTGAATCAAAAAAACCCAAAATAAACAAACAAGAACAGAAATCATAGATACAGGGAACATTTTGATGGCTGTCAGGTGGGAGTGGGGACTGGGGAGATGGGGGAAAAAGGTTAAGGGAATAAGAAGTACAAATCTGTTGTTACAGAATAGCCAGTCACACGGGGATGTAAAGTCCAGCGTAGGAAATATAGTCAATAATAGTCTAATAACTACATATGGTGTCAGATGGGTGGTGAGATTTATCAGGAGAATCACTTAGTAAGTTATGTAATGTCTAATCACTGGGGTGTACACCTGAAACTAAGATAATAATGTATGTCAGCTGTAATTGAAAAATAAAGAATGATTTAAAAAAATAGTTCTTAATGACAAAAAAAAAAGGTAAAAACACCAACCCAAATTTTATAGTAAAAACTTAACTGGTCATGGGAAAGTTCTTGTCTTGACAGTGCCTTACATTTCTCATAGAACTGATTATTCAGTTGAGATGAACTTACATAAGATATTAACTTTCTAAGGTCAGTGACTAAGATATAAGCATTTTCCTAAATGCAAAACAAAAAGTATACATACCTTTTTTCCAAATCTCTTATTTTCTCTCTAAGTGGTTCAACAATCTAAAACAAAATAATCAGTATCAGTTGAAAAGCAAAAACAGAGTCCTCCGCCACTTTCACCCCACTTCAATGTTCCAGACAGGCATGACATAAGGCAAAACAAACTTTAATTCTCCTATAATTCCAATTTGAAATTAAGTTATATTATTTCATCACAATTCTAGAATTGAGATGATAAATTGCATATTGGAACTGTTATTCCACAGATGCATGTCTCTGAAAAAAACCTTTTTACTTTCCTACCTTATTATGAACAATATTAAATTTGGTTCAGGCTCAGAGAAATAGGCAGCTCAACACCCCTGTTGTCTTCTCAGGAACTAAAATCCCCTAATGGCTGCCCACAAAGATTTAACATCTTGTTTCTACATTTTATCTCCAGGGGATCAGCTCCAGCACAGAAATGACAGTCTATGAGTCAATCCCCTTCCATGTCTGTTAATACCATGAGAATGGAGAGAACGACAAGAGCAAAAACCCAAAGGCTTCCCCAGGAATCCAGCCAGCATCTGGCTTCAACTCAAAATAAGGAATTCCTCATCTACTCCCAGGCCATTTTACAACAGTCTATCCATATCTACATTTACTTGACTAAAACCTAGGTAATTATTTTTAAAATAGAAGATGTATTATCAACCAGAGGAGCTAGCTTTCAGGGATATAGCTCTGATTTCCCCATCTGCGCCTACGGACACTCCCTGTGTTCTCAGTCCTAGCATCTGAGTTGAGCCTTTTTCCTTTCAGCATCTTCTCAAGTAAGTGGATGCTGGTGCTTGCCTTCATCCCTGGCACAGGTTATCACTTCCCTTTCTCTAAGAAATTCTGGGAAGGCTCAACCAGAAAGTCACAAAGAAGTTTAAATTCATTTTGGCATAAAGGTATAGTTTGTTTTAATAGAGCACACCCTTATAAAATGGACAAAGGTTGACACAGAGATGCATCCACACACAACAAACAGAAAGTCTCCTATTAAATAAGGGATCATTTTTTGAGAGATGGTCTCAAAATCATAGATCAGCATCAAGCTGCTAAAATAAACATATCAGCACAAGCAAAGGAACTAAAGTAGATAAATATAATATATAGAAAAAAACAGAAGCAAAATATGGAAGAGACTAACCTCTTCAATCTTCCTTTCAATTTTTAGTTCACCATTTTCCTGGATAGACCTGTTGAGTAGAAAGCTACAAAACTGAGATCAATTGAAAGGCTTGAGGACTTCAAGAGTTATTTCTGAAGAAATTTCCACAAAACAAACCTATAGCTGTACACCACCTCCCTCTCCTTTCAAACATCAGTCCTGTGTGCCAATTCCCTCCAGAAGGGGGTGCACTAGAGGTAAATAAGACTACCAGGGAGAGGAAATCTCCTAAATCCATCTTACACACTCCCTACTGCCTTAGGGCTGTTTCTATTAAATTAAAATAATCTCACTTTCACATTATACCCAACATGGGATTTCAAAGCAGGAGGTGTGTCTACAGGAGTCCAAGTCTGACTGCTGGGCTTTCCTGGGGATTTAATATAAATGGAGTTTTTCCAAGTAAAAAAACAGAGCTCCTTTAAATGGGATCTAAACACCCCACCTAGCCACACACAGAAGCCTTTGTCAGGAGACACACACAGGCCCCGGTGGCAGGAATCAGCTCAATGAGGCCCCGTCTTGCAAAAGCAACCCAAATTGAAAAGCCTGGTGGGGACGCCGCAACCCTTTTCCCTTACAGCCTTGTGCAGCAGCACGAAACCCAAATTCAATTCAATCACCACAGTCACGACTGCTATTCTTTTAGTTGTACAATACTGCCAAGAAAAACAAAGTGGAGCAAATTTTTCTTTAAATTAAAACGTGCTGACTCCTTTTTTGTGAACATTAACACAAGGATTTCATTTTTTTAAGTGTCTCTCGTACCCTACTGAAACACAAATAATGCACAGTCCAGCCAGAAGCTCCTCGAGACAGACAGGTGGCCTCAGTATCCACATGGGGCCAGGGACTAGCTGCATTCCTCGAGGATATCCACAGAAGAAAAGACACAGCCCAGATGTGTGAATCGTAAAATATTGTTTCATTTTTTAAATTGAATTTAATTAACCCATGACATCAATGGTGTATATGTAACAACTGAAATGTGTCCATAAAATCTCATGACAATATCCAAATTATTAAAAATAATTACCTCATATTAACGAAGTTGCCCCAAACAGCTGTAAGGAAAAGAAGAAAAAGTCAATATTTAAGTTTGACATTCAAGGATTTCAATTAATACAATTTTAATTATTAACCAATGTTTTAAAGTTCACTAAGAAAACTAAATTATAGCTCATGAAGAAAATAAAATGCACACTTAAAATGTTAAGTCCTACTAAAAAAAAAATAAGTGAAGATGATCATATATAACCCTCTAATTTTGGAATATCAACATCTCTTTCGAGGTGTGGCATTCAACTTCACATGTGTTTTAACAGTATGTCCCCAACCTTTGTTTGAGGAAGAGCCAGTCACAAGGATCAAAGACCTGTGTGCCTAGAATAGATCCAAGGATTCATCCAACTACTTCCTTTAAGTGTTGATGAAACCAAAATCTAGAGAAGTTAAAAAAAAAAAAAAATGGCCTGATGTTGTGGCTTAACTTCAACTAGAAATCCATCTGTCCTTTCTCAGCACCTATCCCATCTCCCTTATGTTACAGTGTCTTCTCTCTTGGTCTGCCTCCTTGATGACAGACACCTGCAAGGCAGGTTATCATGTCTACAGATGGCATTCAGGAAATGTGCATAAATCACTGGGCTGCAACAGCAAAATTTTACCACAGATGACTTTGAAAACAGAATACTGGACCACGAACAACCACTTCAAGTTACCGAACAGAGGATTATGTCATACAGAAACCTTCACCACGAATGAGTGGTCCTAAGGTTTTGTACACACCCAGCCCTGTGTGGTCACTTCCCAAATGCTGAACTCCTCCCAGTGGCCAGGTACTCTTAGGTGTTTCTAGGTGCCGGGGAAATAAGGAGAACAAATGACAAACATCCTCCCCATCGCAAGGCTGGCGATTATGTGAACTTGGGAAAGCCTTGAGGTTAGAGCTACTCCTAGGCATCTTCTCACTGCTAACCTCTGGGATATAGTAGGGCTGTAATGAATGTTTACTGAATAGAACTGTGTCCAAAACCACACCCCACCAGCAAGAAATTCCCACTGTTAAGAAGAGATATGTTGTCAATTCCATAAAATCACATCCTTCTTGAAATAAAGGAGGAAAGTATGATAGAAAAGAGATTAACAAAATAACCACATAACGTGGCAAGTGAGTGAGAAATGGGAGTAATTAAAATAAATCTGTATTATATTCATTATTCATCAAAAAAGCAGAAAGTGTTTATACCCATAAATCATGTAATTTTCTTTTGAGTATTATCTTCAGGCCATAAGCATAACTACAGGAAAGCCACCTTCACAAATCATGGCCTTATTTATAATTAAAGAAAAAAAGACAGTGGGATAAGTCAAAATATCTGACAATCAGGATGCTGCTATCTAAATGATGATATGGCCATTCAATTAAATCAGAAACCCGCTAAATATGACTATGAAACTATGATGTAACATGAGAATGCAGTTACAACAGTTCCAGAGGGGAAAAAAATATATGCAGTATGACTTGCTACTAAAAAATACATAGAAATAGACCATGTGAAAATGCTAAAACACAGTTTATATGGTGACACAAGTACTTGCTTATTTGTCCCTGGATTTATGTGCTTACCTCACCTTTTAAAAGTAGAGAAAGGATTTTTAAACCCGTACTAAAAAAAATCCCATTCTCTTCCTAGACAACTTGTGAACAGGTCTGTCAGTCCTCAGCTCACATGGCAGGTGATGTCACCACCAAAACAAAGCCCCAAGATCAGTGACCAGGCAGGAGCAGCCAAACCCTATGGGTATTTAATTTACTGTGTCTATCTCAAACATATTGTCTGATTCTGTCTTGTCAAAATATACTAGGAGGCAGTCCCTGTCTTTCCATGCTATGGAATGTGCACGAGAGGATAATCCATTCCATAAGGTGAATGCGTACCTTCCGACAACCTATTCAAATTATTCTGTCATTTTTAGTTTATTCACTTTTTCCTTTTTAACCTTTTCTCAAGTCTGTTTAAAATGTCTATTTCAGAGACATTTCTCAATTCTTCTACCATCACTTAGACCACTTCAGAGAATAAAGTCTGCCTCCACTTCTGGACACCTTATCCTTCATGGAAGTAAAGACACCAGGTCTCCCAAGTTCTCCCCCATCTCCCACTGGTCCTGTTGAAGGATCTCTCTCCGTCAGTGAAATGGGGCCCTGGGACCTGCTTTGGAGCCCTGGGACCAGCCCCAGGAATGAAGCCCAGAGCCACCACTGTATTACCCATTAAAAACAGATAATAATGGGTATAAGAAGACAATGCCCAAATTTAGTTCTGCGGCTTAGCCCTCTTCAGTTAGCCTCGGCACCTAGAAACGCACCCTCCTCCTAGCAGCCTGCTCCTTCCAGTGGACCCCAAAGCCTCCTGAGCCTCTTCTCCTCCCCACCAACCAGGCCTTCACAGCAGCCCCTCCTAGGAAGGCTCCTTCTCAAGACTCTCCACCTTCCCTAAACCACTCACCACCCCAACCCTTCAGCTCTGTCTGCAGGTGGTCTCCTGCCTAGTCCACAAGTGCACTCACATGTCACCTGAGCACTCAACCTCCCTCCCCGCTCCATGGGACACTGGGGCCCCTCTTGTTGCCACTTCTTTTTTAATTGGTAGTTTACAGGTGGTCTTCCCGCAAGATCCGGTGTTTCCTTATTCACATGTGTAACACCAAGCACTTGAGGGCCAGGCACCAAAATCAGGTGAACAGAGATCAAAAAAATGTTTTCACTTTCTTCATTTACCCCTTGCTTAGTACTTTTTGTCTTCAGAAGTGTTGTTACCAATTAATCTTCAAAATGTTTTTACATCAAGTGCTTTGGCTTCCTTTTAAACTCTCAAAAGCTCCCCCTGCATTGCTTTGGTGAGTGAAAGGACTCAGCACCCAGCACAGACAAGGCAGGAAAAGACGCTCATTACTGCACACTCATTTCAAGGCAGAGACATAAGTGATTTCCCACAATTAGGAGCATCGATCTTGCGTTTTGTGTAAACTAGCCTGGAATGTTGCAAGTTAAACACTATCTAAAAATAACGCTGCTTTTAAAATGCTGCAACCTGCTTACATTAATGTGATCCACCTTACAGTGTCTCAAAATGAACTACTAATAGATTCACACAATAAATATTGGAATGAAACTGAACAAAATTAAATCTATTATGTATAGTATAAGGACTATATATTAAGGAAAGTAGAAAAGAAAAAAGATAATAATTCAGCATTATTGACAACAAATTCCCTTACATAGCTTTCAAGATATTTTAAATTATTCTCATTTTAATATAAATTTTAAAAATACACTGTGCAAACTGAGGCACACTGGTTCTACATTTCTCATTATGTCTGTATCTAGACATTGTGCTATGCTAGGAAACCTAGATCAAGAAAATCTATTACACAGAAATTTTCATGTAGGGCAAAAAATTGACTTATTTTAAAGGCATGATTAAAACTGAGCATCCTTTTCCAATAAAGAAAAAATTAAAGGGTTAACTAAACACTTTTGTTTGTATTATTCTTAGTTTCTTAAATATTAATCAGCTACTGCTTGAGATAAATCCTTTTAGAACACACTTCCTTTCACACTGAAGTCTATGGGTCTCAGTGGATTCATGGAGGAGTTTCAGACATAGAGGGCTGGCGAGGCAGGGAGAGGATCCCTGAAAGTCCAGGCAAAGCCCTGGTCCATAGCCTTCAAAAATCCTCCAAAGAGTTCCAAGACCCCAAACAAATGAAGACCCAACAATTTGTAGTCTATAAAAGCTTGGAATTTTAGGAGGCATATTAGTTTTAGAGAGGGGATAGATTCCTCCTATGTTAGGCAACAAAGAAAGTACACTCGTACTGCCCTGTGTTAAGTGCGGTTATTATAACACTGGGTCAGACAAATCACCATTTTTATTTCCAGTATGCACAAGTGAAATCAGTACAATATGCTTTAGCATGTTTTTATTGAGCATTCTGATCACTGCTTTCACCTGGAAAGCACATGCACTTTTACCCTTAACACAGGAATAAGTGTGAATTAAGGAAACCACTCTCCTGCCTCTCTATATGAGCACACATCTACTAAGTGCGTAAGGCAAGCCTGCAGGTAAGCACACTGGGGGCTCACCATCTCCCCCCGCCCCCATTAAACTGTTTTAATGGGTCTCAAAATTCTGTGACAGATTTTGGTCAAGTTGTTTCCATTAAAAAGTACTGATTTTAAAAACTAATAACTTAAAAACTGCCACACAAAAAAAAAACCAAATGGTCCACAAAACATTCTCCTTTCCTTCTGAAGGTTTTACAATGCATTGTAATCATTAACCAGTCCTTTACTATTAATCTTAAGTGGCCAATTGAGACAAACAGTTCTGAGACCGTTCTTCTACCACTGATTAAGACTGGGGTGGGAGGTGTTAGGGATAATATTCATTTAGCCTTCTGAGCTTTCTGGGCAGACTTGGTGACTTTGCCAGCTCCAGCTGCCTTCTTGTCCACTGCTTTGATGACACCAACAGCAACTGTCTGTCTCATGTCACGAACGGCAAAGCGGCCCAGAGGGGGATAGTCAGAGAAGCTTTCAACACACATGGGCTTGCCAGGAACCATATCAACGATGGCAGCATCACCAGATTTCAAAAACTTCGGGCCCTCTTCCAGCTTTTTCCCAGAACGACGATCAATCTTCTTCAGCTCAGCAAATTTGCAAGCAATGTGTGCTGTGTGACAATCCAGAACAGGTGCATAACCAGCACTGATTTGGCCAGGATGGTTGAAGATAATCACCTGAGCTGTGAAGCCAGCTGTTTCCATTGGTGGGTCATTTTTGCTGTCACCAGCCACATTGCCACAACGAACATCTTTGACAGACACGTTCTTGACATTGGAGCCCACACTGTCCCCAGGAAGAGCTTCACTCAAAGCTTCATGGTGCATTTCAACAGATTTGACTTCAGTTGTAACACTGACTGGAGCAAAGGTGACCACCATGCCAGGTTTGAGAACACCAGTCTCCACTCGGCCCACAGGGACAGTA